GCAATGGCACTGATGGCCCTATGATTCGCCTGGCCCAAATCCTGAAAGGAGTGCCTGTAAAGACTAAATTGTCCTGTGCAAGTACATTCACCACTGTCGACCTTCAAGGAAGTAAGCAAATCGCGAAGGCCCAGGAGCTGACGATGATCCCGAGCCCGAAGAAGGGACACCAAATCGATCAGATGATGCCTCAACCCCTCGAACAACACGTCGAAGGAAATGTGATAGTCCCAGCCAGAAATCTGCGCCACATTCTCCAATCGCCTGGTGGAGAAAGCCAACTCCGCCGCAGAGCAGTGCGCCATAGCTGGGATCCTAAAATTCCTCGAAGAGAGCTCGTGCCGAGATACTTCCCGGCACTCACTCTCCAACATGTCACTTCACACATGCTGTGTGTCACAACAAATATCATCATGTACAAACAGAACGTTGGGTGAATGTGCGATTGTCTCCGTTCGTTATCCGTTGCAAGATGAGGAAGAAGAATGTATCTTTGGCAATCACTCGACCGCAAACTTCCAGCCGGAGCCGAGTTGCCAAGAGCCTCTTCTTGCCCCGGCCATTCCCCGGCTGATTGAACCATCGGACCTGCCTCACCCACCTCAGTCGGTCTCAGGGTCTCCTAGGAGAGCCCATCTCTTAAAGAGAAGTTCATGCTTGAAATTTTCAGGGCTGACACACTTAGGGCTTGGGAACTTAAGTCCGGCTGCCCACAGCTTCGCTGGGGGACCCGCGAGTCGTGTGCTTTGAAGACCGCCAGCAAAGAGGGGACGGCAATGGACGAGGCATCCCATACCTCCATCTCCAAGCACTTACTATAATTACTACTACTCAAAGGCTGTGGGCGGGGCAGAAGCACTGAGGCTGATGGGTACTTCACAAAATCATTGGGTTCTCCACGTTCGCAGACAACCCGCCTTCTTCACCTGTAACTGAAACCGTATACGCCTTATACAACGACACGGCAATTTCAAACTGTTCCTTCCAGGGCCTCGCCCGCTTTACGTCGAAATGGCTCGGGCCGAAGGACTTGGCTTCAAGAACCGCAGAGCCTACAGCACGGCGCACTCGAACGGTGCAATCGGCGGAGCCAGATGCCAGCAGGCAGGCATCGCGTGAGAACTCCAAGAACCAGACCTCAGAGAACAGCCAATTTCGAAAAAGACTCGACTGTGTCGGATCGAAATCCGAGCGCCCCTGCAGCTTCCGTATGTCCCCGCAGCCGCTGGTGGCCTGCGATATACCGCACCGGGCCTTGTGTTCCAGCGCCCGCCTGGCGTCTTCTCCCTGCGGCCTGTGACTTCCGCAGTACCTCGTTGAAAAGAGCCGTGCACAAGGAAGTCCCAAAGAAGAAGTCCGACGGCCTCGCTGGAAGTCCGGAGTGAAGTCCCAGATCCACACGCCACCGTCCTGTAATGCCCAGCGCAGGGTTCTCTTTTCACCCGCGCACCCTCAAAAAGGGCTCACCTGGTTCCCCACCGCCGCGATGCCAGGGTACACCGGATGACAGGCGAGGCTCAGCACAGCGCCGCCGCTGCCACCTCCAGAGCTCCGAGGTGCTTCGACTCTGCCAGGGCAAAACGGGGGTGGGAAGAAGTTCTGCCTGCGAATCGCCCTCCGAGGATCATGTCGTCATCCTCCCTCTTCACGTACCAGGACGCCACAGAGCCATCCGCGCCAACGGACAGGGCCTTGCAGTTGTCGATCTATGACTCTCTCTGCGTCCAAAAATGGATCAAACAACACCTCAAGGGCTGGGACGAGGAGCGGCTCTGCTACCGAGAAGGCAACGCTGTGGACCTCAGGAGCTATATAAGGGGCAAAAAAGGGGAGCGAGGCGCTGCGAGACGATCTGCAGATCCTCGGACTCGGCTTCCAGCGGCGCCCTGGTGCGCCTTCCACTGCTTGATGGGGCTGGCATTCTCCGCTTCCCAGAGGAACTGACCAAGGAAGGAGAGTGAGCGGTTGCCAGCACTACGCTGTAGGGGGGTCACTGTAGGTCACTGTAGGGGCCACACCAGGTTGGAGTCCTGGTCCCCAGAGATCAAATAGCCCGCATAGGAGAAGCTCAGGCACCTCTTCAGAAGGGACCAGAAAAGTCCGCTACTATGGGGCATGTCGTTCAGCACCTGATGGCCGCATCGTGGCCACGAAGCACGCCCAGCGGACTCCCATCTTGGGCGTCCTCCGAGAGCTGGCCCATGCCATGATGTGAAGCTGTCAGTCTTATAGTTTTCAGATTTGCGGGGGCCACTAGGCTTTTTTCGAAAGGCCGACCCAGAGGCGGATGGTCTTGTCGCTGCTGCCAGAGGCCAGGGTGGTCCTCATGTCCACAAGGAGCTGCACTGCTGCGAGGCAGAGAGCAGATCACTGCGAAACCGAGCCGAGTGTGCGGCTCGTTGCTGGAGAACTTCACCTCCCAGACTTGATCTGAGTGGCCTTTCAGGGAAACCTCAGAAGGGAGGAAGGCTCACAGACTGCAGAGACTGCCGGGAATCCGAGCAGTCTGCCAGGAGTTCCATGACTTCCAAGTCCCAGAGGTGAACCTCGGAAACGGAGGAAAAAAAGAATCAGCGAAAGAGAGGGAAAGCGAATCCGGAGGCTACGAACGTCGCGCACGTCGCCCGCGCGAGGGCTCGCGCCTCGTGGTCGGCCGTCGCCGCGGCCATCATCATGTTCACCTGCAGGGAGCTGCACGCTCCAGGACGTGTTGAAACGTGGGGGGGGCCTGGGGCATGGCCTCTGCCACGGCCACGGCCCAGACTGGATGCGTGGTGTTTTTGCGCACCCGGAACTTGTCAAAGCGTTGCTGGCTCTTGTACCTCGCAGCTGGGGGGAGGCCGCCGCGCCCAGCTCGCCCTTCCCCCACCCGAGCCTGTCGGGGAACTCGGGCACCAAGCTGCAGACTTTGGTGTAGTTCCGAAGGTCATGCGTGGAAAGATCTGAAGGGCAGCAAGGCACATTTTTTGCTGATGAGTTTAGCTGCAGCTCTGGCGCCTGAGTAGATCTCCTGAGCCTGAGGCTGTCAAGAGGCTGTCAAGGTGTGGGGGGCCGGTAGAGCCGCTGAGCCCCGAACTCTACGAAGCAGCTGGCCATTGCCCATCTAAGAATCCAGACACTCTCCACACTGCGTGCAGCGAATTCCAACGCTTCCGCCTACATCTACGTCATTGGGAGCCCTTGGCTGCGGAAGAAACTTATTCGATTCGGTCTCAGAGGCCACACTCCGGTCACAGCTTAGAAGAAAGAGGGACAGGGGGGGAGTCTGTCGCCGTTTTGCGAAAGGGCCGGCGGCGCCGCTCTGCCGCGGAAACCCTTGGGCCCTTAGCCCTTGGCCTTTGGCCTTGGCCCGGTGATCCGAGCCGGAGAAAGCCGAGAACAGCCGATAGAGCCGAGCCGACGCTCGGGCCGAGCCGAGCCGCGATGCAAGGATTGGAGGGCGTTTGGAGCGCAAGGCTCTTCCCAGACTTCCGATTCGGAAGGTCGTCTGCCCAAAAGGCATATTAGCCATCAGGCCGGCCGTGCGGCCAGGCCCTGGCAGAACGAGAAGTCTCAGGAGGGGAGGAGGGGAGCCTGCTTCTCCTCCTTCACCTCCCAGCCTTTGGGATGCAAAAAACGCGGTCGCTCCTTGCTGCCCTCTGGAGATCTGCTGCAATGCTTTGAAGTTGGGTCCGCGGCGGACTGCCAGGATGGAGTCGATGATCAGCTGGGAGGCGTGAGCCATGATGCAAGGAACGATCATCAGCCTGCGGAGGGCAAATAGTTATTATTGAGATGGCGACGACCATATAATGTACCGAAAAACAACAAAACACCGCCGGGAAGGGCTCGGACCCGGAGTTTGCGCGAAGAACGGGCGGCAGGGCTGACATCACGGAGACCTGGCGACCGAGTTGGCCCTGCTAGCCCCCAGTGGCCTACTGCACTCGGAGGAGGTTCAATTCGCCCAGACCACACAGACAGGCAGCGACTTCTGGCTGGACATGAGCACCACGGTCACCTCAGAGTCGATGCGGACACGGGGGCCGTAGAAAGCGCAGCAAGAAGCTGAGCTTGCCGGCCCACTCGCGGGGCTCCAGCACCGCCGCCGTTGCTGAGAAGTAGCCTCCGGGCCGCAGTACGCTGGAGAGGATGCGAAGGACTAAGGGAATGTGTTGTCACTTCGGGGGCCGCTGACCCACAACACGGTAGACCAAGTGGATGCCGGCGGCGATGCCCAAGGCGCAAGACAGGTCATAGGACTCGTATCAGCCAATAAGGATGCACAAGGCCTGCTGCAGGTGTCCCCAGGACTGAGGCCAGGGCATCTGTCGAGACGATCTTCGGCTGAGCGCTGGAAGTCATCAGGAGGACCACCAACAAGATGCAACTTCCCAGGGGCACAAGCTCGTAAGAGTTCGAACTCCACACACGCAAAGAGCCACAGGCGCCTGTTTTGGCAAAGGCCGAGAACCTTCTTGTTGGTCTTCGCAAAGCTCTTGGCTGCTGGCCACACCTTCTGAGTGTTCCCACTGAAACTTAGCACGAGAAGCGCTCGAAAAGGCCTCTCGAAGTCCCATCCCCACGACCAAGGGCACCAAAGTCAGCCTCCCATGGCTCTGGACTCTCAGTATAGCACCGGCGAAGCAGGCAGCGTGCAGCCGCGGCGCCAAATGAGCTCGAACAGCATCTCTGACGGCTTGATCGGCACTTTGGCAGCAAAGATCTTCGACACGGACCACGGCATCGTGGCTACGCCTCAGGGTTGGTTGTGCTTGGCCAGGTGTGTTTGTCTGGCTAGGTAGGTGGGTGGGTGTGGGTGGGTGGGTGTGTGTGTGTGTGTGGGTGCTTGACTTACAATTGTTAATCACGTGGAAGCTCGAGCCTAGGAGGTTGGTGATGGTCGTGAGCAGCACCGCCAGGGACACGTTGCCCTGCAGATGGGGTGGAGTCTCTCTAGTGTCACACTGGAGTCCTAGACTAGATGCATACATTCAAAGGCCCGCCTTGGCTTGGGTCACCATGGTCACTCCGGAGGACAAGGTCGTGGGCACCACACAGAAGACGGCCAGGCCCTGCGAGCGGTCGGCGACTCCCGTGGCCCACAGAACTTCGTCTTCTCCCGGCCTCTAAGAGGGTCTCCTCGACATAGCCCTGCCCGTAATGCAGGATCGGATAAGCGAGGAGCGGGGTGACGCCGAGGACGAGCACCACGGACAAGGTAAGTGCCTCTCGCAGCTGCGCAGCAGTTTCGCGGAAACCTCCATTTAAAGAAAACAAGCCCTTAAGCCTTCAGCGTCTGAAGCTCCTTTCTTCGAAATCCTTGCGGCGTCCTTGCCCCCTTAGCTCCCCTGCCTTGTACTGCAGACACTCGGAGATCGAGTCCAGGCAGAGACCCGACACAACGAAAATCACGATGACCGCTACCTGCACAGCGCTTCCCTTGCTGCTTCGATTGAAAACGAAGCCTTCGAGTCATGTCATGGGGCCTGCGGCAGGCGAAACCTCCCAATTTCGATGCCATCCAAGGCTTCTCCTGCGCCGAAGCTCTCGTCAGCCGCCCTCGCTCCAGCTCAGCAGAAGGAGAAGAAGGGGGGGCCTGGCGCCGGGCAAAGCAAGCCGAAGGTGATCACCTGAAGAAAGCTAGGCATGGACACGGAAAGGATACACCGACGGACCGGCGACCTAGACGCCTGAAAGCAAAAAAAATTGTCTTGAACTCCAAGGCGCGGCCAGGAGGCCAAGGATTAAGAAATTCCTGGGCAGAGCTGAGGCGGGGGGAGGCCCTGGCCCGGATTCAGAGTCCCTTTCTGAGCTCGGCGCTTGATGATCCAGTCCTTCGCAGTCATGGCTGGAGGGGTGGCTTTGAGCCAAGCTGGCACCGGAATGCGGGAAGGCACTCCGAATGATCTACCATCCGGTATACCAGGAATATATTAAACTTGCTAAACGGTACATCCAGGTGTCATCCAAAGAAGGGCTTGAAGATTTTGACCCTTTGTGCACGGGCTTTCGCTTCCGCTTGGACTTTGCAAGCTCCTGGAAAACCGTTCGCTTCCCAGCGAAGGCAGGGCTGGGCCCTAGGCCGGACACCTCCAGCGCAGGCGCAGGAGTCAGCAAAGAGGGAGAGAAGAGGGAAGACTTCTGTGCAGAGGCACCGAAGAGAGCTGGCGGAAGCGGTGTCGGGGCTCTCCTCCGAAAAATCAGAGACCCCTGGCCGCTCCCGTTCTCTCTCTCTCTCTCTCTCTCTATAAACCCGGCTCCCGGCTCCTGCAAGCGACGGGCCGGGACCACCGAGGCTCCTCGGCAGGACCTAATGCCCAGGACACGTCGTAGGTCCTCGTGGCTTTTACAAAAGCTTGCGGAGTTTCAGAGCATCCCTCCCGTGAGCACCGCGCGGTGCTCCAGCGCCACCTGAAGACCACGCCGCGCCTTGTCTGGAGCCGCCATAGCATGCGGCTTACGGATGGAGCTCCGTTATGGACACAAGCAAGGCAAGCTGCTTGGCATCCTTTTTCTTCACCCAGCCACCGCAGCTCTTACCTGCAGTGCATGACTCGACTTCACAATCACAGCAAAACCCAACGGGACCCAACGGCTCGGAGAACTTCTGTGCAAAGGCGCCATAGCTGTACGGAGTGCCCTGCGCGGCTGAAGGCCGCCACTGCATCTCCCACTTCAGTGCAAGCTGCTGCTGGGAAAGCTTCGGCTTCTGCTCCTCGGCTCCAAAGCGACCACGTGGACACCCTCCCCCCCAAAAAAAAACAAAAAACGTCACGCACCTGTGTCGGTGCAGCCGGCTCGGAGGTGCCTTCGACGTCAGCCAGGAGAGAGCGGTGCCACTGCAGCCCCCCAATCAGATCCTTACCTGTGGCGTCTGCGATCTTCTTGGCAGCCTGCGACGCCTGCAACAAAAAGGTGCACACTTTATGAGGAGGTCCTCTCCCCGGGCGCCGTTTCTTGTGCTCGCCTCGCGGACGTGCCGCGGTGGCCGGCTTCTGGTGCGGCCCATTGCATCAGCACACTCAACAGCGATCTCTCTCCAGCACCTACAACAGCTCTTGTGGGATAGATCCATCGCCTTCGAGCTGTTTCGAGGTAGACATGTAGATGCTTTGTGAAGGCTCCGAGTAAAAGGCCCGGCGTGCTGAGCCGGAGAAAGGAACTTAGAAGCAGCCGAGTTTGAAGGCAGCGCAACTCCGAGGATTTTCGTCCAACAGCACCTCCCGTAGCGGAGATCAGCGGCGAACTACCTCGCTGCAAAGACGCCGTCCTGCGCGGGAGCTGCAGATTCTTCAATCAGCAACTCGGGGGGTTTTTGTGGAGAGACTGCGGAACTTTGCATCGTCCTTGCTGTGGGTGTCGATGACTCCCTGGTGCTGTTCTCGGGCTTTACCTCGGCCGTTTTTAGCGAAGGTAGGGATCGACCCAAAAAGGGCTTATACAAGGGTACCCAGAGGGATTCTCTACAAATAACGGAGGCCCCGGCTCTTCTGGTAGCCGAACTGGATCTCCTTCTTCAGATCCTGCTTCACCTCCTTGAGGTAGACACTCCCCTTGGCGGTGATGCGGTTGCCCTCCAAGTCCAGCTGCTTCAGGGGGCCCTCCTCCCCACACTTTCTCACTGCAGCTGCTAGTCTTTGAGCGCCGCCGTCCGTGATCTCGTTGTCCTCTTTTTTTGAAGCGGCTTTGGACCAGTCGAATCGTGTAAAGACCGACGGTGAGCTTAAGGGTGCCTTGAGCAGCAGGAATCGGAGCTGGCTGCCAGCCTCCAAGGCCTGCAGCACTCCCCACTGGCCCACGTGGTGACGAAGTCACCCTTTGTCAGATGAGCTCAAGTTGGATTAATGATTATCCCCCTGCCTCCGCCAGAGCTGTGGCACCTGCGTCGGAGACCTCAGGCTTGGAGGAGGGTCCGTGCTAGTCAAGCCAGTCAGCAGCCAGTCTCCGGGCGCGATTGTCTCGTAGGTCCAAAAGGTTCAAAGTGCTCCCCAACAACGCCTGAGACTCGAGCTCGACTCGAGTCTTAGAGTGAATCTGTCCCCATTGACAGCGTCACTGACAGCTCTCCTAGCCGCGCCTTCGAGAGGCTCTGCACACCGATGTCCGTCACCTGAGCTCCACAACAAACCGACGTCGAGAAGCTGCAAAACACAGCAAGAGATGTGGTTGGCGCCTTGTTGTGGTAGAAAGAGACCTGCCTTAAGGTTCTGGACGACCTCGAGCTCCATGGACGGTTTTGAAGAGAGCTGAGAGGCCCTCTGAGAAGCTGAGAGCTGCACTGAATCAAAGTGGCAACTCGCTGCACGCCAATGTCCTGTGACTCGACTCATCTGCGGTGAGTAGTTATATCTGACGAGCGAAAGGGTCCGTGATGTTGTTGTCATCCAGGTAGACGTCGACGATCGTCTTATTGTTCCTGCACAGGAACCGGCCCGGCCCGGACTCACAAGGCCTGCCGCCGCTCTCGCTCTGAGCAGCGCGCGTCAAGGCTTCTGCAAGCCGTGCGACGCCGGCGTCATCGACCCCTTGGTACGACACCTGGCCAGGGCATAGGATCCGGACTCTACGAGGGGACTCCGAAGGGGATGCGGAGGAGCGGCGGCAACAAAAACTTCTGCCGGCAGAACGTCGACTTCGGAGCTCTCCTCCAGGCGGGTCAAGGCCACTTCGAGCGTGGTCGCTGCCATGAAGAGGCGACGGCGTTAGAGTTAGACCTACAGCATCTGCATTGAGCAACATGTCACGAGCTTGAAGCAAGGTGGGAACAGACTACCTTGTGTCATTAGTTTCGAATATCTGGTCACCCGCGTGCAGCAATCCAAGTGCACAGCTCAGAATCCATCGCTGCGGAAGTTGTGTCTGGTTGCCGGACGCACTGAAGGCACAAGCCGAACAAGTCAATGCACCAGAGTTCCGAGCTAGCTCCCTCGCTTCAACGAATCAACGAACAGCCTCGCTCGAGGCCTTTTGCTGCAGCCTGCATTGAGCCTTGCCTCGAGATTTAAATGCTTTGGAGTGCATTGCACTGGTCGCGTGCACTAGGGAAACGAAACGACACTTCGCCGTTTTCCGTGGTATCTAAAGACTATATAAACATGCTTTGGAGTAATTACTCTAACTACAAGGAACGGATCTCAGATGGCACCGAGCACTGCCGGCTCCACGGAGCTTGGAGTTAACCTGCCAGGCTATAAGACGCTGTTTTTTCTGTGTTCTCTGTCCGCTTTATTTCGGGTTTCCGGGTCCTGCCCCTCCCAGTCCCTCTCAGGTGGCAGAGTGAGGCCTCCAACGAGCTAGAAAGGCGAGCCAGCCCGGATCCTTCAAGTCCTCAGGCCGGCGCTAAGAAGAGAGCAAGAGGGAGAGGCTGTTGCAAGAGCTATGGTCAGCTCGTTCTTGAGACGCGTCATAAACAGAGCTACTAACTCAGGTGCTGAGCACGCTGCGCGGAACCAGGCCGAGGCGATGGAAGACACCTGCTCGGCATCCTCTCGCGCAGCGGAGGCGAGGGGGGGGGGGGTTGGTGTGGCCGGCTTAAACCGGATATTATC